AAAACAATTGAGTTTTGGGTGAGAAGATTGCACGACTGCTGTCAACGATGGAGTTATTGAGATTATATTGTGGGACAACTATTTGGATTCGGATTCCTTTTGGTTTGTAGTCAGACCAGGCCAATGTGCTTTGTTCTGTCATTTCATGGCAGTTGCTGTGACTTGATTCTTGCAGCTTTAGGCTTTAGATGCCCAGAACTAATTCCAGTCTTTCTGGTCAAGTTGAAACGAGTAAAAGTGGCCTTCAGTGATCCAGCACCTCCGCGAAGGAGCCCTTTTGTTTCAGGGCGGAAGCTAGACAAGAGTCTCTTGGTGTAATCAGGCCTAGCACAAAAGAATCCTCTAGGATCCTCTAGGTTTGTGTAAAGGATGGTCCACCCTGCAACAAGATGTGAAATGATGCAGCCTTTGCCCACCTCAATTTCTTGGATCTCCAATACAAAGCTTGTGCATGGAGCTTGTGCTTGAATAGATATTTTTTTTGCAGACTGCAATGGCCAAGACTTGGGACATGGCAGATGAGGCCTTTGCGTTCATGTGTTGTTACAAGCAACTTGGAAGCCAATATGTTAGATTTCCCTAGAAATCTAGGAACAAGAAGCTACTAGGCGCTCCTGGCATCGCTACTAGGAGCAAGGACGCTACTAGGGGCTCCTGGCCTTACTACTAGGAGCAAGAAGCTACTAGGGGCTCTTCTTCAGTGCGAGCGCTTCTTCAAGGAAGCTCCCCCAAGCGGCGGGGGGGAGCTTCCTTAAAGAAGCGTCAGCTATCATGCGTCCGTGCTAGTAGCGTACTAGTAGCTACTAGCTACCTCAGTTCCTTACTTAATTAAGTAGGCAGTCTCTACTTGATTAAGTAGGGAGGGGGGGAGCGGGCTTAAAGAAGGGCCTTTGCGTTCTTCTCATGAAAGATCTGCAAACAGCTTCCAACAACTTCGAGGCCGCGGCGCCTCGGCGCTTTTTGCCCATGGGGTGGCCATCGGATGGCGCTTGAACCTCAGGCTTCAGGATGTGTTGGACAGGCTTTGAGACTCCTTTGAGAGAGGTCTTGAATGAAGAACGGGTTTGACGCTTCTTGACCAACTTGGATTGTTTTCTAGGCTGTGCTTCCTGATGGCATTCTCCACAGCATGGCTTGCAGTTTGGTCTAAGCCTTGAGTGACAAGCAGCGACATTCTTGCAGTTTGCCAAATTCACTTTCTACCAAAGGCGGCAGACGAGCCTTCTCCATGAAACCATTTGTAAAGCTGGCCAATTTATCAACTCCGAGTTTGAGACTTCCCGACTTTCTCACTTTGTTTGGAAAAAGTAATATCTCTCTCTCTCTCTAAGTATAACATACATTGACTTCCTTGTGGCTCATGCAGGGACTCCCGAAACACAAAGCCCGAGCGTTCCGCTTGAGAGTGAGCACGAAGAGGCCCGAGCAATGCAGGGTGGCGCAGGACTTCTCTTGAATTTCACAAGAACAATCATTGAGGGCTTTTCTCCTAATTTGTATTTCCTCTCCAACGAATCCGGCTATTAGGCGGGGGCTGCGATCCTTTTTCTACTTTGTTTTTTCCAGCACTGTTGAGAGAAGGACTGCACCAAGCCAGGCCCCAGAACCAGATGCATTGCCGCCAGCCTTGGACGAAGAAGGAGAAGAAAGCAAGGTGCCCACCACAGTTCTTCAAAACTTGCCAGAGCAAAAGAGCCCATTATTGCCCACAGTGATTCAGTCTGGTCCAGTGAAGACCCCATATTGACCGTTGAAACTTCGCGCAGGGTGCTCCTGAAGAAGAAGCTCTGGTGCAGGAGCCTCTCTCCTTTAGAAAGGGCCATATGCAGGTCATTTTCGAGAATTGGACCATTCATTGCACACTAGCAGCGCAAAGGCACGTATCAGAGGTATTCTTTTTCAGACGACAAACATCATCAACTCAAACATCATGCAGTAGCTCGTCTTAAAGCTGCAGCAAGTGACGATGTCAAACATAATCTCACTCCGTTCCTCCAACAGACTACTTTAATTTATGCTGCTAGTAGTAACGCTCAGGTCGTGGAATTCACATCACTCAATCAAGGTGTTTTCGTGTTTTTTCAATGTGTCTCTCTCTCTCTCTCTAAGTGTGTAGTCTTTATTGGGTGAGTAGCCTTGTTTGCTTTTCTGCATGTCTTTGACAGAACCACGGAGCTTATGCACTAAGCAAGTCTTGCAACACATGTCACTCCACAGAGCAGTCACCATCATCTCCAAGACTCCTTCCACGAGTCCTCCCAAATATTCCGGATGCAAAGGACCCCGTGAGATTCTCCAAGAGGTTTTACGAAGTAGGCTTGAGACACAGACGGGAACACCTATAGCCAGGCCGGTAGGTGCTGCGGGCGATCATCATATCCCATAACTACATCGTTCATAACCACAATCGACGATATCGCCATAACCGAACGAGTCATCCACGGCTGCGAGTCAGCAAGTCCTGCTACTTGAAGCTAAGTAACCACAGGCTTTCAACCTAACAGCAATGGCCTCCAACCTAGAAGCGATGGCCTCCACCTTAGTAGCAATGCACTCCAACCTGGAAGCGATGGCCATGGCCTCCCCCAATAGCGATGGCTTTAAACCAAGAGGAGGCCCATCTTCTGTGCAACTTGGAGAACTGGTGGATTGGTGCGCAGCCACGTGGGCTGTCCATCCAAAAGGCTTCTCCCCGATCTGTCTGATACGCATTGATTCCGGCCCAGTTCCTGAAAGCTAGACACTTCAACAACTTGCCGCAAAAGTAAAGTGCCAAGTGAAGCCTTTTGCATGGCTGAGAATCAGCAAAGAGTGAGCACTGGTTTCGATCGTCGTTGCTCATCGTGCTTAAGTCAACAAATGTATTTTGGGCGGAATATTCTTTATGACAGGAGGAAGTTACACCTGCAGCAGAGGCGAGAGAACTGTTTAGTAATGTTTAGTGCTAGAGCTAGAGCGCCGCATAGGCCAAATGGGGCATCAAGGCTTTTGACACAATTGTTTGTTTTGCCAAATGTTTGCATGCCGCTCAGACACTTGGAGGTGACATCTTTGCCAGAGGAGGACAAGGCCATTCTCCACACTTCTGGACTTTCACACACGCACCATGTCCCTTTTAAAGGTGCCTCAACACTCGGCTTTGTTGGAGCCCTGGATGTTTCGCTGGGATTGCCTAAGTGCCAGTGTCTTTTTTTTGACATGCACATGTGCAAATTTGCGCTCAGAGTATCTCAGAGTTGGATCCTGCAGTGGCGAATGAGGTTAGGTGTCTATCAAGAACTTTGCAGGATGGGGTTGCATTCACCTGGTGCCATCAGGCGCAGTGTGCTTTACTTCGGCAGAAATGAAGACATGTTGGAAGCTGGTCCCTGGTGATTCAAGGTGATTCATATTGATTAGGCAAGAATCTGTCAACATAGCCTGAACATTTAAAGCAGCCCTTGCATCAGAACTTGTTTGCTGCAGGCTTGCACCTGCACACGTTCGAGATGCAAAGCACCAAGTTCTGCGAGCCTTTGAGGGCATTTTACACATACATTTTGAATCCAGAGAAGGACTTCTCAGGCCCCATGACTCTATAACAACGACTCTATGCATCAACCCTTTTTTTTGATAACGTGAGTTTACGACGTCTAAGTTTGCTTGGACTGCTGCTCTTGACCAAGGTCGTCGTGAAGCTCTACCAGTCGCTAGCAGCTTTGATGGCAGTGAGCTTGCCTATGGGCCTATGGGCTAAGCTCTACTGAGTCCTTGCTATGTACTTGTAACACACAAGTGGACGACGATAACAACAACAACAACTGCCACTACTACTGCTACAACAACAACAACAACAACTACTACTACTACTACTACTACTACCACCACCGTCCTAGTTGCTCCATTTTACGCCAATAAGTCACTTGTGTGGACTTGAGGTAGAACGTCCTCCCCCAGCGCCTTTTCATCGTGAGAGAAGGGCAGGACACTGAGTGCCGGAAAACAGGAAAAAATAAAAAAGTGCGCTAAAAACGAGGAAACTAACTAAGGGCATCTAACGGCTGTGTTCATCAGGCCCTTTGTTCCTTTTTTGATTAACAAAGTTCTTTGATAAGCTCCTTGCTGTAGAGCTCATTGGAGTCCTAGGTTCACTTGAAGGAGCCCAACTGCAAGTGAGGTCCCTAAGATTTTGTTGCCAAGTTGCCATAGGCCTTAAGATTTCGCTTCGATTTTCTTGCAGCATGTGAGTCGGTTCTGGCAATCACAGGAATCCTGCTTGGCGACATCTTCTTGATGGTTCAAGTGCCTCGCTGCAGCTTTGCCCGAGCTTTGATTCTTAATGACATGGGAATTACATCAAGGACGAAAGACTCCTCGAGTGGTGATTGATGCCGGCCTCTGAGAATTCAGGAGAATCAGGGTTGAACTGCTTTGGCTTCAATGTGGCTTCGTCCTCTTGGGCATGGCAATTATGGACCCTTTATTTAAAGCCTGGCTAGGTCGTAAAAGTAGGTTAGTAAGCTCCTAATAGCTAGGAAGCTACTACCTAGGACGCAGGCTAGGGCTCAGGCTTTCCTGAATGATTTGGTTTCTGTTTGTTTTTGGAAACTTAACTTGGAAAGAGCCGACCTGAGGTCACCACTGGCATGGGTGGTGGGTTCCAAGCTCAGCTGCTCCGGAGGACCATTCCAGTGGCCTTGCAGTTAAAAAAAGAGCTGAGGCCGGAACTCGATTTGCTCGAAATTCGTCTATGGGAGGCATCGAGTCTTTTAAGCATTGTTGATCTTGAGGGTAGACCTTGGCGCATGAATGCAACAGTTGCAACATCTTCAAGATACTGCTATTTCGGCAACATACTGCTACAAATGTTGCGCAGCCAGATCAATGCTTCTCTTAGCCATCTACCAGAGCCGCCACCAGTGAAGGCCTTGCGTCTGCAATCCTTCCGAACAGAGGTTGAGCCGTGATGGTATTGAAACCGGTTTTCGCAGTGAGCTCAATCTGTGGGCGTTTCCTTGGCTCCAGCACTTAGCTCCGTGTGGTTGGCCGACAGTGGGTCTACATCACCGTCACTTGAATACATGTGGCCAAACTTTTGCGACCTGTGACAAAGTCAAAGAGGGAGAGTGATATGTTTGTATTTTAATGATAGCCGCAAGACCTTTACTTCTGATGGCTGCGACATGTAAACTGTCAAATCTTTTGGAGTCGTTTTCTTTTCTTTCCCCTTTCCGCTGTTGTCCTCTCCTCTCACATTAAGATCGAGTGTGCTGAGTTGACAGAATAAGGCTGCATCAGCATGGACGATTGGTGAGATTCCAAGAAGACACGGAAGATGGCCAAGACATCGAGACACGTTAGTTCAATTCTTTCTCCTGTTTGTGTGAGGCTTCTGAAGCATGACAATGCGACCTCCTTTCTTTACACAGCTCATGACGGTGTGCCTAGCAGAAGGTGTCCTGTGCATGTTTTTCTATTATTTTTTTCCTCTTTGGAAACCAATTGCTCGAACGAACGCTAACTGCACTTACGCCAGACCTTTTGCCCACAGATTGACTTCTCTTGCTTGCATGCATGAGATTCTTGCATGCAGTTCCGACATATTGCATTGCTTTACAGCTGCTGAATTGATAGTTATGAATCTGTGAACGTTCTCCTTGGGACCATGAGAAGCGTTGTGAGAAGCAGTGCAAACTGCGGTGCAATGAAAGACAGAAGCAAAACAGGTCTAGTGGACCCGACTGCGCAAAATGATGCCCTGCTTTGCTCTGGCGCAATGGAACTTGAGTTTCAAGCTCCATGGCTCATCTCCGACATGGCCGATGGGACAATCTGCACATTCTGCACAAAGGACCTATTTTCAACTCAGAAAGTGTAGCGGAAGGTCCATCTGTTCCAGCGCTTGGAGCTGCTTCGTGGCTTGTGCATCCGCTTCAGCAGCTTCAGCTTCTTTGCTTACTGCCTCTTTGCGAAGACACAGAGCTCGAAGCGGCCGTTCACTGAAACGATCGTGCGGATTGGCATGTTCTTGGCCACTTTGCTGATTGAAATTTATTTGCGTGCAAAGAACTCTGTGCAAAGAAGGAAGGTTATCTTACGCTGTCATCGTATTTGACAACCTTTGTGGACGACTACTTGCTAAGAGTTCACCATTATCAAAACTTATGATTTCACAGCCCTCATGCTTGCTCCACGCTCTGCAACACATGCTGGGATCAGAAGATGCCAGGCTGGGATATACGCTCAGTGACGAGTCTATGCCTTCGTCGACTGCAAGGACTCTTATCGGGATGCAGACCGTACGTTTGTGCGGACACTCAAGCCTGCTTCATACATTTTGTCCGTAGTTGTGCATCAGCAAGGTATCAGGCAGCCATGTTACAGCATGTGTATATATAGATATATATTTATATATGTGCTTTGGTATGTGGCATTCAGTGCTCAGTGCTGCTGTCACACTGCAACAGCCGTAGCAGTTCGTAGGTACAGTTGACTTGGCGCACAGGACAGCAAAGCACGTCTTGACCATGTGCGACTTGACCCGAGAGGAGGTGCTTCACCAAACTTCTCCATACTTTGGCAGGAAATGTGATGTCAGCTGATAGCAGAGACAAGCGTTGTGTTGATATCGCCTCATCAAGTCATTGATGGGCCCAAGGTCATGGACATTCTTAGAGTTGCAACAGCCATGAAGCAGTCCAGAAGGCGTGGACAATGATTGTCGGGAATCTTCCTGCAACTCCAACTCCTTTCCTGAAGCAGCACAGCCCTTAGGAACTTCATGGACACTGGCTTCGATCGATTCTCAGAGATTCTTAAAGGTCAGACACCCGGAGGGACTCTGAGGGAGTCAAGCTTAGTGAAGCTTCCTCTGAAATGAGATGACGTTTCTTGCCAAGGCTGCTCTTTGCTAACTCTCTTTGAGAAGCCGTCCTTGCGCACTGGCCTCGACAGTGTCTTGCGTACTGAAATGCTATGCCTTTGCCTGTCTTTGCCAAGGAACCCGCGTGTCCTTAGAGGTTGCCATGAATCAGATGGGGGGCCATGAGCTTGACAGCAAATGCTGAAAAGCAATGCAAACAGCAACATGTATAATCATGTATATATATATATATAGATACTATATATATATATATATTACTTTTCCATTTGAGTTGACTCCAAGGCCAGGCAATCTTCTATTCGATAGCTGATTCTCCCTTGGGTGTGAAAGAGAGCATCGAGGACTCCACACAAGTTTTTTTTGATTTTCTTGAAAGTAGGCACTGGGATTCACAGGGTAAGTACAGCACCCAGTACTCCATTCTGAAGGACACGGGTCGAGTACTGTCACGAATGTGTGGGGACCTGAGGCAAGTCTGGTGACATCGCAGTCTCTCAATGTTTTTGCTGCAGCCTCGGCTCGTCAAAGGCAAAAGCCCTTTCCGTGCAAAGGCCGCAAGCGCTCCAATGTAGATCCTGGTGGGCGCACCACCAAGCCCTCTTTGTCCAGCTGAAGTGGCGTCGATGACAACGGCGGAGGTCAGCTTGGATGACTACAGCCGTTGCAATTTGACGGCACAAAGCCAGTGAGCTCTGCTGATGTGATTTTAAATAGCACAGAAAACACCAAACGTCAGAATCAAGAGTCAGACTGACTGAACTTTTGTTTTCTTTGAATTTGAGGCTTGGAAGAAGATGACTCCATTTTTCGACGGTGTTCGAACCGCGTGCTGATCGTCCTGGCATGTGGGCTCCTAGATTTGCATCCATGTGGCTGAATCACCGGACAACACTCTGATCATACTCTTATGACGAATTTGTATCCATTGTCGCTCCTTTTGTGCATCGAGGCTGACAGCGGTTGCCTTTTGCCGCTTTGCCCTTCTTGATTTCTGGGGAGCTCTTGTGGATGCCTTGGTCTCCTTCGTTGCGTTTCTCTCCATCTATGTGTCCTGGCTAGCTAGCAGTGATCTTTTCCGCCAACAACTCATGCTCCAGTATGGTGTTCGAATCCGCCCTAGGGAATGCATTTCTCAAACCTGTGCATTTTGGTTAGAGCGATGCCGCCAGCATGGATGTCTCATCATCTACATAAGGGAAGCAAATGGTCGGTGCTTGATGCCACAAATTGAATCCTCAGAATATCAGGCACTTGATTCCAGGAGGTAGAATCTAGAACCTACTCGGCCAAGAAAGGATCATGCACCTCATGCGATCCTCAACGTTCCATAGTGCACCTAAGGAGTTCCATGCCGTATATTATATTTTTTGCAGCGTGGCCTGTGGTTTGGACTGCTGCCTAAACCTGGGCTCGGCTCTGTTCATGTGGTCCCTTGCCATCGCAAATATGTTTGAACAATTTCCCTTGCATGCCAGGAACACGGTCTAAACAAAGAGAGAGAGAGAGAGAGAGAGAGAGAAAAAAAGAAGGTAAGGCATCTCTAAAGGAGGCCTTACCTTCATTTTGTTCATTTCCTTCTAGATCTTGTTTCTGTCTGTCTCATCCTGTCTCAGTCTCCTAGCTTTCGCAATTTTCTCGTTCAAGTCAACCAATTGAGGTTGGGCCTGGATTCTTCCAGCATCTCGGCTCGGGCACTAGTGCAGTGGTGTGCTTAAGCTTAAAGCTTAAACCTGTTTCAGCGTTGCATAGGTGAGCAGTTTGACCATTGATGATTGACATCTAAGTCTACACAATCCCAAGGGCATTTTTGCTGGTTTCACCCAGGCACATACTGGTGGAAACAACCCGGAGCAACAGTAAAGGCTTAGCAAGTTCAACTTCTTGTCTCCATACTGTACCTGCTCAAAGCCAGTATCCATTTTTCAGAGCCAAACAAACACATATTGATTTAGACTCTATAGACCTTTAAACCGCAAGCCGAACAAAGAGTCTCTCAGCAAAATGCAGCCGAGATGACCGTTTGACGCTGTTCAGGTTGTTCAACATGGCAATCCCAGATGAGTAGCGTGTGTAGAGAATTTAAGAGGGTCACATAGTACAGTAGATCGTAGTGTCAGCAGAGAGGGTTGTGGGCGGGTTTACAACTGCGAGTCTGTTATTCCTGTGGTAACCACCATAGAAATCGGCGTTTCCCTAAAAATCTAGGAACCAAATCACTAGTGTAGCGTGAGCTATCCTGCGCCCTACCTAGAAGCTAACTTAGTCTTGTTGTGGCTCACTGCTAGTCCCTTACCGATTTGAGTAGGCGCGTACCAAAATCCAGTAGGGAGCGGGGTGGGGAGCGGGCTTAAAAAGAGACCATTGGCATTGGCTGGGTGCAAAACTTGGTCCACATGAGTGCCAGGTTTCAGCTTGGGACCCAAGCATTCAGCTCTGATTTGTGCATCAGCATCGCTTGCTGGGTTGGGCATGTGTGTGACTTGTCCAGGAAGTAGCTGGCAAATGCTCAAAACAAGTTGCAGGAAGCCTTATATGTCGTGGAACGCTACAAGACCTGACTACAGCAAGATTGAAAACACTTGAGACTCGCCGATAGCTCTATGCCTGAGATCATTCAAACTGAACCTCCCGAACATCAATCATGCCAACGCCTGTCTTTTGCACGTCAAGTTCTACATAGACATAGCAATAATATGAATGCAAGCAAGCAACACAATGGCCTTGAGAGACCTTCTTATTTGTAGAATCAAGATGTTTTGCATGGGCAAGGTCAGCCAGCCTTTTCTTTTTCTCTATTTTTTAGACGTCTCTTTTTTGCATGTTTGGCAAGGTCTGCTTGGTGCTTTGGGCAGACTTGCGCGTTAACAACAAAAGGGAGGGTTTTGGCGCACGCCACTTGATGTATGGCTCAGTCATGGAAGTGGATGCAGGCCAGGCAAAGGTCGATTTCACTTCTTCCCATCACATGGTGGATGCAGGCAGTATCATTGATTCTCTAGTGATGGACTAAAGAGGCAGTGACATATCTCTTAACATCATCTT